TATTCACTGGAGGTCTATTGCGTAAGAACACTGGGAAAAAGCGAATTAGTGAACAAACTTAAAAATAAACAAAGTGAAAAGACAAATAAAGAGGTTTAGCACATATTAATATAGACATTTGCATAGATAGTTTGATTATTCAGTTGACCATCAGATGGACGGAGCTGATGTTCCATAGATGTTTGCGTGAAAAACCTTCGGAGAACAACGAGCCATGGGTCGTACGAAATGGATGGCGAGAGGCAGAGTGAAAAATGTGTGAACGGGATACGGAAAGAAAGGTCTTAGGTAGAAAATAGGCCATAGGTTTCAGGGAAAATATGGGACAACCGCTTTCTGACCATGGTAATAGCAGCGCTCGCAAAACTGCGGTTCCATAATTCAAACTGCTATGAATGTTATACTTATCAGAATCTTCCTAGGACATTCACTTCATGTGGTTCTTGGAGGCTGTAAAGAAACTTGTAAACCCTCTCATTGGGTCACTCCTGGTACCACTGACGACCAAGTGTTGTCTGACTGCGTTGTTCAGATTGCTCATGGTCTGCTTTCGAAGACGGCCTGGCCAATGCTCATATATTTTCTTAGAAAAACTTCCCTTTATGTGCTCCAAATAACAAGCACTATAAATGCTAGCCAAATGATACAGAACAAATAGGAGACTTGTTTTGTCAATCTAAAATCGCGAGTATTTATAGGAGTATCGTGGGACGAAAATTTAGGAAAAGGGAATATTGAATAATGAACACAAACATGTTGTTAGAGAAATGACCGACAGTCGAGGACCGGGTAAATACGTGAGATGGGCGATGCTGATAATCTGAGTGCGATCCACTCCAATGATAGTAAATTAAATTGGGATTCGACGGAGTGAGGGCGAGAACCCCGAATTCGAGGCGCAACTGACAGAGACACGGGGAAATAATTTAAGTCCACGAATTACAACTGGATCCCCGAGACTCTTCGGACTGCTGAGGATACACAAACCACTGAGACTAGTGATAAGTGTGTGCCATCCAGCCTATCATGTCATTGCACACTGGAAACTAGTCACAAATCGTTGATCTAAACCGGAACGAAAGATCCCTTCGCAATCGTTGATCAGATCCGAAATCTAAACGTGCCATCTTGAACCATGCTCTGTTTGGTGTTAACTCTTTGTTTGCAGTTTGAAACCTGAGCAGAAAAGTTGGGATTTGAAACATGCAGCTTCCTGAAAATCCAAATTACTATCGACAGGAGGATGGTGTCGCCGTGTGATTACCGTCGAGCCACTCAGAGGGTTGCGTCAGAGCTCAAGCCACTTATTGTTTAACGGCTTAGGGATAAATTACCTCATCAGTCTCGATGTTTCGTTCCATATTCGTTTTCGTACAATTGTCGTGCTCGTTACATCGTACACATAATGAGGACTTAGTCCAAGAGAATGTATGAGCTTTGCTCAGGTCCTCTTCGAAGGCAAACCATGAGCAATCTGAACAACACAGTCATACAACACTTGGTCGTCAGTGGTACCAGGAGTGACCCAATGAGAGGGTTCATAAGTTTCTTCATAGTCTCCAAGAACAGCATTAAAGAACTTTCGTAAGAAGATTCTGATAGGTGTGAAATCCATAGCATTTGGTATTATAAGACCGCAGTTTTATGAAGGATTGTCCTATGTTTCCCTTTAAAGATAGCCGAACGCTATCCCACAGTAAGTAAGGGTTCACGTTCATTTATATATATATTAAATAAATTTCTTCGCTTACATAGTTGTCTTTTCGCATTAGATGGATTACGTTCTAGGACAAACGTTTTCTCAGTAGGTTCGCCCAGTGCATCGAAAATGTTCCGCATGTGGGGCAATGGAAATCGCGGTTACTTAATGTGTTGGAGCACCCATAAACTGGCTGATTTAGTCAATTACGAACAATCAGATATTTTACAACTGTTCACAGGTATGTATAGTGTGTAGCCATTTACGGTTACTCTTAGTTTAGCGGTGCGAAGATAGAGAATAAAATGTGCTTGGTCTGAAGAATGATTTTGGGCTTGAAGTCATGAGCAAGTTATATGCAAGGTTATGAAAACCGAGGGATTTCCTCCGACAGGAATGGAGCTGCTCGAGCTCAATGTCCACTGTCAGAAAGCGGTATGACTACTCCATTCGTTCAATAAAAATTAATGCAAATATGGTGACTCACTGAGATTGAGTCGAAGTGCTGTGAGACTGTGCCAAATAAATATTCGTATCAATTTCTTTGATAGTTGAGTACCGATATTTAGTGTGAGGTAGTGGTATGATTACGAATCATTGAAAACGAGCCTGTGCGTCACTCTCAGTTCTATTCGCATCAGTCTTTATACTAACTAGAGTTCATTACGAGGCCCACTATTTGTGTTTAGTGGTAGTAGTGCAATGCATTGTATTGTATTCTAAAAACTTCTGTAGGCATCAAGCCTACATTTCAGTTAAAAATGTACAAGTTGGAGCGAGCGAGAAAATAGAAAATAATAATAAAAAAGATTTGAATCCCAAAACTGTTAAAAAAGTCTGTGAAAACCTGTTCTTTCTTAACTAGAATACGTGCTAATGAGGGTACTGGAGAGTTGCGATATATGTTTATTCGAGAGGGAACACAACGATATTGGGGTTTGGTTGAAAGACGGGAACAGCAGGAAGTTAGATCTGTGTATAGCGGATGTGCGGAGTCTATAAGAATCTTATATGCAAACTTTTTACATGCATTCAAATGACGTTCGTATGGGTCAGTTACCAACTCCTTCAGAGGGATTGTAGAGATATGGCTGAGGATAGTCAGTCCACGTTGAAGCAGCTTAAAGTCTTTCTTCAGGAGATAGAAGAAAATAACAGATGAACAAGATATTAAAACGAGGAAAACACACTGATACACAAATTTGGAAATAATTGATTGTTGAATACGAAATGATGAAGTTTACGGATATGAAAAGAAGGTAATCGAAGCTTACTAACGATGTGTTGGAAGTGAGAGGTCCAGTGAAGATTAGTACCAATAGAAAAACTCAGTAATTTAATACAGTTTACCCAGGATACTGGTTTAGAACCAATCGATACCGGTTCAGCTGGAAAAGAAGAGCATGGTAATGTAAAGAGACATTGAACACATTTAGAGGGATTAAGAGATAGACCCGATGTGGCGGAAAGCCGTTGAATTTTATCCAAGTTGTCAAAATATGTGAAAGACCAGGAGAGTAGGAGATGGCCTGACACAAAACCACTTCGTTAGCGTATTTGAAGACAGAAGTAGGGGCACTAGCAGACGTGTCACTAATATATGTAAAAAATAAGTATAGGGAAAGACCTGCACCTTGAAATACCCCAGAATTGTTCACCAATGGTTTGGATTTCTTCCTATCTAACCTGGTACACTGAGTTCTCTCGGAGAAGTAATCGGCAAACCAAGCCAGTAACTGTCTAGGAAAACCACAGGTCTCCAGTTTACGAAGAAGAAGGGAACGAGGAATATGACCAAAAACAGATGAGTAGTCCAGAAACACACAACGAACAGATTTCGCAGAGTAATTCAAGGATTTGATAATTTCAAAGGTGAATTCGTCGTGGATATAACAAATGAAGCGTGAACTGAAAAGCTAGGAAACACTGTACAGCTGTTTCAACCTGGTTAGGTCTCATCAACAGTGCAAATCCATCGACCGCACTTTGGATCGAGCCCGGGAGTTCATGGGCAGAACACAAGCATGCTACCCACTACGCCACCGGACAGCTGATCAGACCGTTTCTCATTTTCTATTTACACCAATCAAATCCTCTATTACTCACTTGAAATCAGTAACCAGGTTGGGAAAGTTTCCAACCGAGTCATAGCCCTGGAGGCTAGTGCTGAGATGAGCAGGGTCTGTGACTCGCAACAAGCTCGCAAAGATGGGTTGTGCTATATCGTGTAAATGGAAAATGAAAAACGTTCTGATCAGCTGTCCGGTGGCGTAGTGGGTAGCATGCTTGTGTTCTGCCCATGAACTCCCGGGCTTGCTACCCACTACGCCACCGGACAGCTGATCAGACCGTTTCTCATTTTCTATTTACACCAATCAAATCCTCTATTACTCACTTGAAATCAGTAACCAGGTTGGGAAAGTTTCCAACCGAGTCATAGCCCTGGAGGCTAGTGCTGAGATGAGCAGGGTCTGTGACTCGCAACAAGCTCGCAAAGATGGGTTGTGCTATATCGTGTAAATGGAAAATGAAAAACGTTCTGATCAGCTGTCCGGTGGCGTAGTGGGTAGCATGCTTGTGTTCTGCCCATGAACTCCCGGGCTCGATCCAAAGTGCGGTCGATGGATTTGCACTGTTGATGAGACCTAACCAGGTTGAAACAGCTGTACAGTGTTTCCTAGCTTTTCAGTTCACGCTTCATTTGTTATATCCACGACGAATTCACCTTTGAAATTGAATCGAATCCTCCATTACTCACTTGAGATTTGATAATTTTATGTTAAGGAGAGGAAACTGCATCTAGCGTGCCTCTATTTGATTGCTAGGCAAACTGAAGAGGATCATATGAGGCATCAATTGAGGACTGAATGCGCGTAAAAGCAACACGTTCTGCTAGTTTAAGTCCAACAGAGGTTAATGCGACAGGACGAATGCGTTTGGTTAGAACATTTGAAATAGATGATTTGGGAATGGGAAAAATTATTACTGGTGTCCAACAATTTCCAACAACTGACGTGGAAAACCAACCCTTGTGGCTCATACTACATTAGTATGTCAGAAATCACATGAGGATAAATATATCATTCCGCTCGAACAGGTTATATTTCACTCGTGGTCAAAACATTCAAAATTTCGTTGTACTAAGTAAACACGTGTAGTTTTATAAATGATTGGGTATTTCCACTAGATAGTCCTGCCCATTTTTTAATGGATGCGATCGTGATTTGATAGATGGGATACAAACGAAAAGCTGTTTGTCCCAAGGATAGAATGTCGATCAAAAATCCAGTGAAAAACTAACCTTGTGCCATTTTGGACAGAGAGAAGAGATGAACCAGCGCGGCTCCATGCCTGTAGCCCATGATGGTGATTTGCTCTGGATCGCCTCCAAAGCTAGCCACATTGTTGCGAAGCCACAAGATCGCGGCATGAAGGTCGAACAGTGCAAAGTTTCCGTTGCTTTGGCCTTCTTTCAGTGACAGGAAACCTTGAGCCGCAAAAGGATATGCTTAAAAGAACATTGTTCATTCGTGTATTTATAAGATGACTGCGAAAATAAATTAATGATGTGCAGCACACACGCACAATTACACACGCTATAAATTAAGCTACTGTATGAGAATTAAGGGCCTCCTAAAGCCTCAGTATGGTCCGGGGTGGGTGTCCAGGGTTGTGGCTGGTCACAGTACCCTTGCATTTAGCCAAATGCTCCTATATGAAGCGCCTCAATTAGCCTCTGCTGAAGAAGCCAAACTCATTGCCTTTTCGTGGTGGAGGTGTTTTCGTACCAAAGTGAGAGAACGAATAGCCGATATCCAGGGCTATAACCTGGTTGGTAGACCACTGGTAGTTCACCTAGGGAAGTTGGCCAAAAACCCCGATTCCACACCAACCATGAGGCGTCGTACGAACAACATCCAGACCTTCCCGGTTGTGGCAGTGGTCACCGGCGCAATGGGGCATTGAGGTGTATTGGGCACCTTGGACGTCTGGACACCCGTCCAAAGGGTGTAGGATCAGATGAATTAAACACCGGCTCCGAATGGACTGCGATTTTACCACCGTCCCACTGTTTTACGGGTCAGGCTTTGGCTAGCCAAAGGCTCCGGTTGTGGATTCCTCAAGAACATTCACCTGCCTTGAGCTGTATTCCGCCTACGTACAAATCATGCAACGTTTCTCTCTTTATAAAGAATATTGTGCCATGATTTGTTTGGTACAGTCTGGCGTCACACGTATGTGAAATATATATATATTTTACATACGTCTGACGCCAGACTGTTAGTAGCATCTAACCCACTTGCAAAACATCGAATCGTAGCATTGATTTTTCATTGGACTGGCTCTGAAAGAGCTGTCTATCCAATGGTTACCCGGTGTTGCAAGCAAGGTTATTGTGACGAAAATACACCTCCCGGGTACAGGTATATGAATGAACTGACAAAAGATTACCGGATATGCATGCGTGACAAGCGGCAAGAACCGCGATACTGGTCGTGTGCTTCCAGGGAAATATTGTCCAGTCATTCATATACTACTTATTATGATATATATATATCTGTATATAAGAATAAAGGAGGATTTGATTTAGTTTCGTAGAGGGAGTTTCTTATGTAAAGATCAAATGAAGCGTGAAATAAAAAGCTATATACGATGCTTGCAACAAGCTCGCAAAGATGGTTTGTGTTATGCAAGTGGAAAATGAAGAACGGTCTGATCAGCTGCCTGGTGGCTAAGGGGGCACATGTTCGCTTGCTGTCTGTTAGATCTCGGTTACGACCCCCCCCCAGTTGCACTGGTTGGATTCACTTTCATACTACGAGGTGTTCACGGTGAAACACGTTTCAGTGCACTTGGGTTGTGAAAGATCAAATTCTAAAATAATGAAGTTAATTTGTTATGGTGCGATACAAAACCTGAACCGATTTATGGACAAAAGTGTCACCGTTTGCAACTGTTGTATTCCGAATTATTAGATGGCGATAAAAACCTGGAAACTTTCCCGCTAATACTTGCAAAGCTGATCTCTTCCAAAAACAGTTTCTTTTTGCAAAAAACACAATGCGGTTTTTCCCGTTTCCTTTGCTTAACATCTCAGTGAAGCAACGAGCACGTTCAAAATTTGCCACTGTATATGTAACGACAAAGGTGCGACGAAATTAATTGTAGCATGAATTTTTGTCGTACTTGTAGCAAGTTAACCAAAGCTGCCGAGCGGGGTAGCACTTTACTTCTTTCTAGAGTAAGTGTCAATCAAATTCAGGTACACCCATGTTTCTGAAATAAAGTAGTTTCTTCCATTTATTGCTTTTGAGTAAAATACTGTCAGATTGTCCAGGACAAAGAAAGTGAATTTTCAAGGAGATTTCACATCCAGAGCTTTCGAACAGTCAAAGCTTGACCCGCAAGGCTGTGGAGCCTTGTTTGAAAACCGCAATCCATTGGAGACCGGTGTCCAGTTAATCGCATCATACACCCTTACGGTCAAATTTCCAAAGTGTCATACATACTGATACCCAATCAAGCCAATAACCATTGCTACAACTCCGAAGATGGGAGCGTATTTCGTATACGCCTGGTTGATTTGGAATCAGGGTTTGAATCAACTACCCCCGGTAAAATACCAGTGGTCCACCAACCGGGTTTTGGCCTCGAACTTTTTCTCTGCTTTGTACAATTTGATTGGTGAAAAATTTCCGCTACGTAGGCACACTTTGAGAGGTGCAAGGGAAGGATTCCCAGACACAAACAAAAACCCATATCCCCTCAGATAAACAATTACCAGTAATTTACTACCCACTATCGTAATGTTGTCGTGTACTGGGAAAAATAGAACTTCGTTATATCATGCTGCTTGCAACCGGGATGAACATGAGTGCAATGATCTGTGGATGTGACGGTTATAGCAATAACAATCAGGGGCATGGGGCTCACAGATGATTTCCACGTCTTGCTGAATGTCAAAATAAGTTTTATCTTTACCACGGAAATCGGTTCTTTGAATCTCCCTAAATCTAAACCCGTTCCTTTTTTTTCAAACGCTTACTAAACCGCCAGTTTTTAAATTTTCAACAGTTTTAAAAATTTTATCTGTGTATTTGCTCCTTTAAAATGATAAATAAAACTTGTGGTTATTTTAAATTTAATTTGGACTGTAGTGACACGAAACCGGTGATCCAAATCAGACATTGACAAGCATTCTTTAGTGTTGATAGACATCATGGGATGTTTCTGATTAGCCTGTACATTGGTGGCAGTGATCAAACGGTAAAGGGGATCACATTTATCGCCCGCGAGTTCGAATCTCCGCACAGTCATCTGACTTGAGCAATCTCTTTGTATCATCAGATAGCCCTTTGCTTGCACGCCGCTCCCCCTTCCTCAAATTTTGTACACTGTCAGGCATTTGGTCGCGAAAAGTAAACAAATCAAAGAGAGGGAGGAAAAAATCTGTGCAATGATTTTTTCTTAATAAATTAACACGCTTGACAAAACAAGCCAGGTCAGTTTGAACTTACCCAGAATTCCAAGCCGGTAGTTCATCGTGATTGCAATACACCTTGTGAAACTCGCCAGAACGCTCAAATCATACGCGTTTCCGGTTCCGTGCTCGTACGATTCCCCGTGGACGAACAGTAGCACGGGTAATGGCTTCCTGTGAACTCCCGCATCGTGTTCTGGAAGTGTTTTTAAGCGGACGCGATGAGAAGAAAGTCATAGAATGGTGCCTGTCAACATGTATGAATCAGTCAGGAAAATGATTCATTCAATTAATAGACTGATATAATGAGCATAAAGACCGTCGATGACGTACCTCAGATTTATCGTTTTTTGTCCTCCTAACTGGAAAGTTCGCGGTTTAAATACGGGTGGAGACATACAAATGTGTGTGTGTGTGTGTGTGCATATGTTGATCTGTTTGATCATTACACGAAATTTTAGGGCGTGAATATAAAGAAACCGATGACACTATTCATTCACGACATGTTTTCGGCACAATAGTGCAGTATGGTACAGTAACCCTTGTCGATCAGACAGCACCAGTACCTAGATGAATTGCAGTTTATATTTTCGTTCCTGTCCTCGACGATTTTGGCTGCATCGTTACTGGTTCCTACTGCATCCAAATACAATTTTTATATAGGGTTTGGGAATGGATTACAAAATAAACACTTGCAGTTGGGGTAAGCGTTACACAGCCGATTATCGGTAAGGATTGTGCTTACAAAATACCAAGCTCATCAATGGCTCAGCGTTTCTTGATGAAGCAACACCCTGTGGATTGCGAGAAAGCATTTCGAGTGATTTTCACTAATGATAACACCCGAATGGTCAAGATTACCGAGGCGATTGCAATCAACCAAAGGAAACCAATAATGTGCATGACAAAATCCAAATGAACTCAAATCACTTCCCGCTCTACGTCCTAGAGTCCTACAATGTCTTCTACAAGCAAATTAACATTATAGGAGAAAAAAATAAACAATGAGTTGATCTTACTATAGGATTGCTGAACACCAAAACGGATTGACAGTAACTAACATTTGGGGTTACAGATATTTGAAGATGTCACAAATTTACATTGGTGAAACCAAGTGAGAGTTGGGATTTCTTAAGTCAAACGTTACGGGTATCGATAATAATTTTATTCACTGGCATAAAGTGTACATTTGAAGTCCAAACATATTGTATATGAATCATACAAAAGGGTTTTAATTTGTTTCTGAGTTACTTTTTTTATCCCTTCAAAGGTAATGATGGGTGTACTACGATTTAAAAGTTTGAGGAACCGTTCGTTTTTAGTTATTTCGTGGTCATAGTAGTAACTGCTTGTGTACGGGAGAAGGCGGAAGGCTGATTTTGTCCTCACTCATTAGGTAACTGACAATGACACTCCTCGTGAAATCAGTTCCAACATCTGGGCCCTAAAGCAATGAGCTCACAAATCAAAAGCACCAGGACCGCTAAGCGATCAAACACAGACACACACACACACAACCCCACGTAGGTGGTGGAATAGTGTACGGTTCATGATATGAACCATTTTTGTTCTACTCGCAATCTCTTAATCATGAACTTAAACCGAGTGGAATTCAACTGCAGAACTTATTATAATCATATGATTTATGCTGGCTACAGAATGAATCATTGAACGTGTGCTCTTAACGTCACAATGTGCATACACATCTGGAATTTAAAGTCATTGATAATTTTTCTATCAAATTTACTCACGCTGATGTTGTTCAGCAACAGCACAGGTGCGGTCTGCAAAATCATGATGAAGATAAAAATATGTTTGGTTATGGACAGTATATACTGGACCGGCAAAATGGATCATTGCAGTTGATTACAAATTTTTACCCCAATTTGGTTATCCAATTAGTTAGTTACTCCGTTAGTTAGACGATGTTTCAGCATATCTACTAGTGTTTTATTATAGTTTCTGAATACATTTCTTGCGCGCCAAAAAATCAATTCACAATTGATAAAAAAACCACGCTTATAACTAGCCATACGATCTCATAAAAACTGCAAATAGAGATTGCGACAACATATTTCAGTCATATCACTTTGAGAGAGAAAGTGAAGCTGGCAGTAATCTGGCTACAGTATCCAAGAGAACCTTAAAAACTGATCTATGGCATAACAGAAATATACTTACTGGTTTGTGGCACGTATATATTCAAAGTCAGACAGTCTTCACTTTGTTCACGGAGGAACGGTTCCAGCCGTAGCAAACGATTTCGCACGGGCTGTAGAAACTCCATTTCAATTTGATTCTGGTTCCAATCGGGTTGAGGACACACAGGCGGCAGTATGGTTTTTGCATGCACACCGGACGGAGCCTCGTAAAAGAACGAGGCCACCGAGTGACTGAATCGATGCGGAGACGCCGGAACGGAAATTCCAGTCTTGGAGAGATTGGATATAGGCAATGTGTCAAACTGTACGCTGGTGGTCGCGGATTGTCTCACCCCCGGTCTCTTCAACGGTGACAAATGAGCCGTGCCAAGTGAGGCGTAACGAATTCCGAAATAGGCTTTAATCTGGCTCAGATTGGGAACAGACAAATGAATATTGAGTCCGGTCAATTTTTGTCCGTCTGCTAAAGTGATCACACCACTTTCTCGGGGATAACGCACACGAGGTACGGCGACGGACGAAATGCGTTGGATTTGTTCACAACATTGAAAAAATAAGAACAGATTAAACAACATGTTAAATCCTTCTGCAATGATGAGTTAAACTTTACACTCACTATCAGCTGTACAAATTGCGTATGATGAGTAAACTGTTGGTTTACTAATCGCGTACCCCACTGACATACCATATCATATCAGCATAATTTGATGCCGGATAATTTGGTGATTGTGATTGGTTCACAGAATGCAGCCACTCGTTTCTCCTCCCATTCGATCGGACAATTAGGCTGGGTCAGAATATCAAATTCGGGGTTGGTGGGGATGTTGGTCTCTGTGTGTGTGTGTGTTCGTGCGTGCATGTGTGTGTGTGGCGCGTGTACGTCAATGGAAGGGAAAAGCGGACAGAGGAAGACAAAACGGGAACTCATGAGACCGATAAAACGCTCTCAAACTGCTCACTCCCTCCTACACTCATCCATCGCCCGTCCCCCCGCCCGACACATGTTATCACTTCTTTCATTGGCTTATATTAGCTAATTATTATGGGGGGGGGTTCAAATTTGAAGGTGAATAGCCTTCACTATCACCCGTTTTATTCTTTTTTTTAATTTTTGACAAAATGTAGTTCAAATTATTATTTAAAAAAACTTAAACAGGTTAACATTTGTTTCATGTTCTCATATGACTTACAACTTACGAAAACGAGGATATTTGACGGGGACACCCCATAGAAAGATAACTTAAAAAAATTTCTTTTTACTTCTTCGATTTTCTGTTTATTGAATATACAAATGTACAGTCAACTTTCAGGAAAGGGGCTGTGACCATACAAAGGCTGCCTGAGGAAAATACAGATATAGGGAAGACGGGCGGCGGTGGAGCGGTTTGAACCCGGGACACCCAGGTCACCAGTTGGTGACCTAACCACTTGGCCAACACCGCTCAAATCTTCATTCATTGACTTTATCTGCGAACTGCAGTCGATAATGTGCGAGGATATTGTCTTTGCTCTGAAATAAGAACACAATTAAGCAAAGATTGCGAGGATACGGTTGAGGTTGATAACTGAGAGTGATCAGTGCTTCATTTCAGTTGGAAATAATGTGCAAATCATTTTTATAACGAAATTATTCTACCCCCTCAAAGCAGATCATAGCCACAAACTTGACCTTTCTGAAGAGTGATTTCAAGAGTATATGGAATGAATAATGTTGTTGTGGGTCTTTTTGGCATACCATAACTACATGTATTCACCCTTCCCACGTAAGTATTTCCCCCTGACTATCCTTTATTATATAATGGGTTACTTTGTGATGTGTAAGAGAATTAGATTTTCCTTCTATGTTTGTAAGATTATTTAGGCAAGTAATTTGTGAACATACAATGAGTGGACAGAGTAAAACCCTGTTGTAGTTTAGACTAACGTGCCATTTGTCCGACCGTCGTGTAATCGAATCGTACTACTGCTGTGCAATTTTTCCACTTGTGTACACCTCACAACACCCATATGATCAAATGCTGCTCTCGTGTAAAGTTATGCGTTCTTAAAAAAAGGATTACTGAAAAATTACCTACACCGTACGGTCGACAAACCAGAATACATACACTGAACCGTAGGTGAGTGGATCCCGATTGAGTAGTTCAGAATTTGTCGAGTCTGATCCGGAAATGTTCGTAAAAGAGTTGTATCATCTGAGACCGATCTGCTAATGAGAATGTTGACTTGGGAATCATGAAAAATGTTGCCAGATTATTGCAGGTTTTTTAAACGAAAAGTTCCTAATTAACTATGGCCAAGAAATTGACTTCAACTCTGTTTCAGTGAATGCAACACGATAGCCAGCAAATCTCTCTTATTCAGGTATGGACGATCCAAATCCCTTAGTTCTTGAAGGACCTCAAAATTAGTAGTATTCAGATCACGAAAAGCTGAGTTCTACAAATACGGCAATTTCTTATTTCACCTTGTCCCTGAAGTTATTCTATAGTGAACTAACTGTATTGTTTATGATCAATAGGTTTGGACAAACTATCATTCTGCATGCACTGCTTCAGTAATTTTATGGAACTATTGGTTGTTGAAATTCAGAAAGTACAGCTCATCGAGGTTGCGTGTTCGATTCCCTTCGGAATTATCCGAATTTCTCACTTCTTATTTATCGGTAGCCTTGGATTGATCGTGATCCCTTGTATGCATCCGTGCACCAAAGCAAGATATTTAAGAGGAATATCAAAATGACGACAACTAATCATATGGAAGAAATTCAAAAAGTCCATCTGGTTGCTCTGAATGTGCTCACATAATACATGTTTTTGATGACTACATAAAACGAAGATTACGAGATGTAGTCAAACAGCTCGGTAAAACAAATCCTATTTGGAGTGACGCATGACCTGAACAGGGTTCGAGTCGCATCGGTTGAAGTAAACAATGGAGGCAACAAAATGCAATACTCTCTCTCTTTGTCTGTTTCTAAGGTAAACCGCCTCGGAACCGGCCGAATTTGTTCGTTCCTCCCGGGTCGATCACTCGCTCGCGAGATGTTACAAAAGAAAACTCATCATCACATATCTGTATTTCGAATGTTTCCTGACACGTTGAAGTAGGAGAGGAAAAAAAGGTAATTTACAATCTGATTTTTCAGAAACAGTAGTAACTATTTACCATGTTTGAAGGATATAGCTAACAACGTTCTTGTTTTGAGTTTCGTGCAATAGAATTAAAAGTGGTCGAGCCTAGTTCACACATTCCTTATTAATTAAACAGGTGGAATTACACCCGCATTCCTCTATTCGCCCGAAAAAATTGGCATTCGGCCATCGCCACGTTGTTGGCGTTGCTGTTGTCGTCATTTTAGGAAACTAACATGCCAGCATCGTTCTTAAATCTGGAGTTACTCGCTGGTTGCCAGTTCTGATGCTGATGTCTTTTTTGCAAAAGATGTGAACTTGTATTCAACGTACACCAAGTTCGCATACACACCGTTCAAGCAATATCCGACTGGGTTCAAATAAAAAAGCCGTTGCCATTCACGACCCATACCGTCTCTTTCATTGGTCTTCCCATTAAAATATATGGACACTGACCTGCCGGAATGTGACAGTTTTGTTGAATCTAATAGGCGGATGTAATGAAATTTCTATCGATCAAATCAGAAGCTAATAGTGCACCTCCAAGAGATCGTGCATAGCGGCACAGAGACGGCGTAGAATGTCAAAATAGCCAGGCCTTACAAAGGATTCTAAAACCCCTTTCGTGAAACTAATCAACTATCCGCCATGTTAATGCCAGTTTACTCAGGTTCAGGATTTGTTACCTTTTAAAAAATAAACGTGCCCGAATTTTGTTTTCGCTAAAGAACAACTTTTTCTTCTATCGGCATCCACATGTACCATCTACAAGTTGCATTCGCTCTATAGGGATGTTCACTCCTCAGGAATTTTGGTGATAAAATTAGTTGTTACTCGGGATAATATGTTCGCTCCGAGGGGACGACTCCACTTTTCAAGGCTGGGGCACTGAGTTCCGGATATTTTTCGTCAAATTGCTTTTCGAATTTTTCTATCTCACTTGTTTTGCCGATTTAGTGTGAAAACAGGAACTGAGTGAATGATCCGTGAAATCCGCGCAATTCGCAATCAATTTCTTGATTATTTTCTAACCAAATTATACAGTGCATGGCCTGTGATCTTAGAAAAATTAATCTGACCACCACAATTTGTAGTTCGTTTATTAAATAAATAGGAAAGGGATTCGCCACCGCTTTAATTTAGACAGCATATCTTACTGCGGTTAGTTATTTGCTATCAACTATTCTAAGCCAATGCCGCTTAGGATTTTGCACTATAAAGAACGGTCACTGTATCATTGTTACAGAAAAGCGGTTCATAGCACAATAGGAGACTCCCAGTGAAGGGAGGTGCTCGGAATCGTAAAAAGCGTAACACATGGATACTATTCTTTACTAAATATATCCAATGCATCTTCCATATCGACCAGTTCTAGGAAAGTGCAAAACTGTGCAAAATTCATGGAAATACAGTTGCATTAATTGATCTAAAAGTTTTGACTTCTGAGGGTTAATTTCAGTCAATTTAAATCCATCGTAGTGTATCAATTTGAAATAAATGATAACAAAAAGGGAGTATATTACCTGATATGTTTGCGAATATAAATTGGAGTAAAGAATAAATTTGTTTTTGGTGCTGCACCAAGGGTAAAATACTGCACACTATCATAGACAGTCGATGTGACGGCAGGAGGTGATCTCTTCTGACGATTCTGAGACGTAGCTGAACCAGGAGGAAGCGAAATTTGGGGAATAATGTGTTACACGCAAAAGTGACGCTGAGTGATCCTGCAAAGAAATTCCTCTAACAATTCCGGACAGTAACACAACCTTTTTATTTTGAATCCAGGTAAAACTTCCACTCATAGGCATTATCATTCTATAAAACTAGTCAAAACAGGCAAATCTAGAAATCGAATTTGAGAACTCTCTTAAACAATCAGTGGATCTAGTGCATGCAAACCTATTAACAATATCGAACATACTAGAAACTAGAAGCCCCGTAAAAACGGATCATCTTGAGACGTTGAGAAATTCCAAGAACAACTAATGATACGGTTATCCTATGCAAATCGGTTAGAAACATGGAATTACTAATATTGATTGACAGATTTATGTTAGAAAAATGATTAAATTGATTGTAAGATACAAAATATAAAGGCTGATGGAGAAACGGACAGAAATTTGTGAAGTGGAAGTAAACTACTGAAGACCGTAAATTATTTGAAAACAATGGAATCGTCTGCTCTGGTACTCTTGAAAAAACTGAAGCAGGAGGTTTAAATACGCTTCTAATAGGTTACCTGCAGTAGTTCATATTTGACCTCAAATATGAATAGATCTTCTTAACATGACATAAGCCAAATGGCTGACAGAAAGCATCATGTGATGCAGTGAGCACCTTTCAAAATGACCAGTCCCTAGCCCCACCCACCGAGAATACCTAATCTAATCCTCAGAAATGTTTTGTCTCATCTCAACTCACGTTTTGTCTAATTGTATAGT